TGTTTGTAATGGGTTAAGAAATCATTTCCTGCACAATCCATGTCCACTCTGCCAGGCAGCTGCAGGTAACTGCACTTTGAGACTTTGCAATGAACTCCTCTGCAGTTTTCCAACAGCTTTTGTCATCAGCGTAACTGAATTTACAATGGACATGGAGTATTTCTCCCTTGCTGACCTGCAGTTGTGCTGAACACAGACCACAGAATGCAAATTTGTGGTAAGAAACCTCTAGCTCTTGTGGTTTTGGGATTAAAACCTTGGAAATGAGGTCAACACACCTCGAAGCCACGAGGCTGAAAATGCGCAGCTCCCCACTGCCCTGTGGGTGTGCAAACAGGGACCAGTTGTGGAGAGAGTACCAAAGCACCAACACATCACTGATTTTCAGTGCAAGAAGGGGCATTCATCCTCCCATCGTAGGATCACAGAACCATTAAAGTTGGAAAAGACCTCTAAGATCACCCCAATCCATCCCCACCATGCCCACTGACCGTGTCCCTCAGTGCCACATCTCCATGGTTCTTGGGCACCTCACAGGGACAATGACACCACCCCCTTCCTGTAAATGCACTAATGGTCATTAGCTTAAAAATATGCTGTTTAACACTGCAAGTCAGACAGTAAGCAGAGCAGAGCATCTCCGAAGCCCAACCCTAACCCTGCTCCTACCCCTAACTCACATTCTCTTGTTCCAGGAATGATGGACCCCAGGACCGTTGGTGAACCATTGGGTTGGGTGCCCAAATCTCCACTTCTCTCAAGACACATAAATGGGGAATTCAACCCCAAATAACTTAGCACTTTGCAAAAACTACCAACCAGGGCCATCTCCTCTCCTTTCTCCTACAAACTTCCTCACTCTTCCTGTTTCCCATTCATTGAAGCGTCCGTTCACCCTTCCCCTATCCCACATCCCCCTGGTCCAGGTGTGATCAACCCCAAGAAGCCCCACCAGTCAGTATCCCATTGGAGCAGGTGCCCAAATGTTCGGGGCATCATTTCAGCTCGTCGCCCTACTTCTCCAGCTATGAAGAAAGAACATAATGGAAAAATAATTAAAAAAAACAGAAGAGAGGAATAAGAAAAAAAAACACATCATTTTAAGGCAGAAGGGGGGGCCAGGAGATGCACGGAGCCAGTAGATAACCAGCAGATGTGATTTTTGCAGATAAGCGTAGTAATTTAGATAAATCTGGAGGCTTTAGAGCCTTTCGCTTGCGTTCCTTTTCTTTCTGTCTGATTTTTTTTTTTCAATTTTATCTCGCGAGTCAAGAGGAGGGGGAGCAGGAAGGGGGGGAGCGTAATCTTTGGGTACTTTTTCTTTTCTTTTTAATGTGTTTTTCCCCAGAAGGTGGGATGAGGCCGCTCTCCCCCCTCGCACATGCACACACGCGGACGCACACAGAAGATGGGGCTTCTCTGTTTTTTAAGAGCGGCGGACAAAAATCAAAATATTTGAAAATGTATTTCATGGTAATTATGTCATATTTCATGGACTGATGCCACTACTGAAAGAGAGCCTGAATGCCTTAATTTGTATAGAAATTGTAATCATTTGTTCATTTCAAGGTGAAAATTGCATTTTTTAATTTAAATTGTATCCTGCGTGATAGTCTATTATCTAGTAAAATTGTCTCCATGTCTGAATGCCTTATATGCAGCTGCAATGCTTGTTACAAATCCCGTTATATTCATAAAAGCTTTGTCGACGTCTCGGGAAATGCGAACAGTTTCTTGTGGGTTTCTTCTCTCTGTTGTGTGGTTTGTTTTTTTTTTTTTGCCTTTTTTCCCCTTTTCCCTCCCATTCTCATCCTCCCTCCCCTTCCTTCTTTCATATATTTATTTTTTTTCCCTTTTTTTTCCCCATATCTACTATTAATAACAATTAGCCTGGCTACACACAAAAGGCAATTCTGCGCGTCGTTGATTTTGGAGCGCGGCACCTCGAGGTGGTGTGTTGGTAGGGAGCAGGGGGCAACGGAGGAGAAAAGGATGGAAAAACCCAATGTGTTCTGCCCTGGGGATGGGAATTCTGCACTAAAGTCACCGTGGGGAGGAGAGGATGGGACGAGTGCCCCATTGATGCTCAGCGTTAGGAAGCTGAGCGCCGCTCGCTGTAGGAATGCAGGATGAGCCGTTGGGTTACAATAAATCAGCCAAACCTGTTAAAATTCTGGGCTGGTTTGTGCCGGGTGAGAACGTGGCCCGCCCAGGATGGGATATTAATTATATTAATCCTTCAAAAAGAAAGAAATGGGCCTCCCAAGGAAATCCTTTTTCAGTCATTTAATTCCCTTTCATACACCTCTCCCTGCTCGGAATACCCTGATTTTATGCAGGTCCACAGCCCATTATAATAAACTTCTCTACACCTATTCTGCAAAGAAATTGCTCATGGAATGCTGCGAGGCTGAAGGCTGCTGCCAGCACAGCCACTCTCTGACTGTAACACCCGAACGTGTCAACCAGTGTGGGCTCATGTAAGTCCCTTAACCTTCACCTCTCTGTTCCTAAAACCATCATCTCTGAAACCATCGTGTTACAGTGGGGCTGGGATGGGTAACGTGATGGGGAGGAGGAGAAATCAGAGCTGGTGAAAGCGATTTTTTTTCAAAATATTTTGGTTTTATCATCAGGATTTTTTCCAAATTGTCTTCTATTAATAAGTCCCGAGTAAAGAGAAATGAGCATAAAACTCAGTTTCTTTCGTTCTGGTTTAAGAACTGGTTTAAAATTTCAGGTTAGAAAGGTAAAAATGTTCACCTTCCAGTTTGTTCTTCTCTCCTCATATTTTTTAAATGAAAGCAAAATGGAAAAGTGGAAACAATCTCAATACAAAAAAGATTTTGACCCTTTCCTCCTATTTCATCTTAGAAAAACTCACGTGAGAATATCTGAGAAGATGATGGAAATGAGTTCAAGTTGTTTGGTTGATTTTTTTCAGTAACTCCAAAGAAAAGTGGTAATTAATGCCCTTCCAAATGTCTTAGGGCTGCATCCCCATGTGCTGAATCCAATCCCCAGGTGTTCCCCAGCTGCTGAATGGCAGTGGCATGAAGCTGGGGAATAGAACATGCAGTGCACATGTGCCTGTGTGCGTTCAGTGCTGTCACACGGGGATCCACGAGGCCATGAGGCAGGGATCCATGGCCATAACACAGGGATATCTGTGCAGCCATGACATGGAGACCAATGGCCATGACACATGAATCTATGGGACCATGACATAGGGACCCTTGAGGCCATGACGTGGGGATCCGTGAAGCCATGACACAGGGATCCATGAGACCAGGACACTGGAGACCCATGAGACCACGACGCGGGGACCCTTGAGGCCAAGGCATGGGGACCCAGAGGCCATGACACACGGTTCCATAGGACCATGATGCAGGAACACATGGCCATGACATTGGGGATCCATAAGGCCATGACACGGGGATCCATGGCCGTGACAGTGGGGGCCCAGGAGGCCATGATGTGGGGATCCATGAGGCCGTGACATGGGGACCTTGGGCACCCTGTGCTTGCAGCAAAGTCGGTGCCCTTTGCCCAGCCTGCAGATGCAGTGTGTCGACAGAAGTTAGCAGCTGGTGTCAAACGGCCTTGACTCTGGTTTATCACTGGTTTATCAGCAGATTAAAGTTGACAACAGCTTAGGGCCATAATTGAGCAGTGATCCTTGTTGCAGGAGCTGCGTCAGCCCTGAGCAGCTCCCTTGTGGGCTCACTCGCGCCCTTGATATCATCCACAGGGCAACATTTGGGCTCTGGTGAGGTCTGGGAGATGTCCTGTGCTGCTCTGATAAGGTTCGTGCTGCCAGAAAAGAGGACAAGGAGCTCTGGGAACGGTTGAGGGCAGTGTTGAAACACAACGGCGCTGTCTGGATGCAGCCAGCGCAGGAGCAAGATTGTTTTAGGGAGGGCAAAGAGCTTCCAGCAACAGAGTGGGATGGAAAATAGGGCTGTAGCTATAGAAATAAAGCTGTTCTGTTTTAGGGCTCCTCGGAAAGGATGGGAGAAGCCTTATGAGAGCACCTCAGGGCAGACCCCAAGCCTGGGTGCTCCCAGTGCTGGCAGAGCCCCCGCAGCCCCCACCTCCTCACTGCCCCTCTATGGAACGATCCCTCTGCTGAAAGGCAACCAGAAAATAAATATATGTTAAAAACCCACCAAAAACCAGTGACTAATTACTCTGCTTTCTGCGTGCGGATATTGGCCCAGCACCGCTTGGATGGAGATCAACTTATTTTACGGGGAACCAAAACATCTTCAGATGGGACTGGCTTTGTTTAAAGGCGAAATGCCTTATTACCCACTGCCGAAGCCCCGAGCCATGCCTTGCTCTGCAGAGTTTCAAAATATTGTTCCGCTTGTTGCTGCTGTGCTTTGCCCTCTAACGAGAGCCAGGTGCCTGCGGAGTCAGAGCAGCGGTGCGGTCCTGTCCTGCCTCCCTCTGCCCCACCATCACTCGCTGAAAATGAATGTATAAAGACATAGGTGCGTTTGGAACAGGCCGGGTGATTGTCCTTCCCTTGTGAAAAGCTGCAGTGAAATTGGATGTTTCAATGCTTCACATAGCTTTTCATTAAGGAATTGGACTTGATGATCTGTATGGCAGTTGGGCTTGATGATCCTCACGGGCCCTTTCTGACCTGGTACGAATCATAGACAGAATCATAGAGTCCTCAAGGTTGGAAAAGATCACTGAGATCAGCGAGTCCAACCATCAACCCATACCCACGATGCCCACGCATGGAACCGTAGAATTGTTAAGGTTGGAAAGACCACTAGGATCATCCACTCATCGACCCATCACCACCACACCCACTAAATCCTCCAAATTAAGTGCCCAATTTTGCTTTTCTTTTGAGCAAAAAACATCTGCAGTTTGCCTGTGCGTTCGGCTGCCGTTGGTTTACCACTTTTTCCCCTCGAGCTCGGCAGAGCGCGTAAAGCAAACAAGCCACCCAAAGACACCTTTAATCCTTTTTTTATCTTTTTTAATGTATAACAGTTATGCCTGAGTTACAGAGAGACACCTACAGGCAGCAGGTAGTTAAAGCAAATACCAGTTTCTCTTTCTACTATTACTACTCCATATAGCTGAATAAATTATGGTGCGATTATATATATACACAGGCACGCACGCAGGCACACACGCACACACACTCCCAGGCAGGCATACACATGGAGCAAAATGGCTATGAGTCAAACACAGAAGCAACATATCCGCAGTTACTAGGAATAAGGAATGTCCTATAGTGCTATGTAGATACTCCCCAGGTGGGTATATGGAGGTGTTAGGGATGACGGGTTAGAAGCGTTAAATACACAAAGTCTCTGAGCGACAGGAGCCAATCTGCTGAGTTATCGGACACGGTGAGGAAATGTCCTTTTTGTGCTCTCAGGACGGTGCTGAGAGGTGAAGCAGGGGCGCGGGGAGGTCCAGAACCCGTTGGTGGGTTGGTTGTTCCCCAGGGATCTCAGTCTGCAGGCATGGAAGAAATGTCGACCTGAGAGAACGGCTCCGGAGCGCGGCCCTTTGCTCGTTGGCTTCTTGTGTGGTTGGGATCCACGGGTGCCCAACAAAGTCACCATGGGGTGGAGGTCTGCTCCGTCCCTGATGGGTCCGCACGTCCCTCAAGGTCCCACCACCAGCTCTGCTCTTCCATGCTCGGTTTTCTTTCGCCTCCCTCTGTTCTGTCCCACCCTACCCCCTGAGTTTGTCTCTTTTCAGCAGAACTGAGGTTGGCAACCCGTAAAACAAAAGGAAAGGAAAAATAAAATAAAATACTTGGACTCTCATACATGAGTGTATCTTCAGAACAAAACGAAGAAACAAACAACAACAAAAAAAAAAAAGAATTCCCCCAAATCAAACCCGTCCCACCCCAAAGAGTCTGGAATGTATTTTGAAAACACACAATAGGCAAAATTTCTACGTTTCGTCCTCCCCACTCCCCCTTTTTTTTTTTCTTTTTTTTTTTTTTAATTTTTTTAAATATTTTATATATTTTTTTTTTAACTAGCACGGCACTCACTGTGTTTTTAGTATTAAAAAAAAAAAAAAAAGGAAGGAAAAAAAAAAAAAAGAAAAAAAAAAAAAAAGAAAGTCAACTTTCTATAAACATACAGCACATGACCAAAATTTCCAACTAATGTACAAAGTGCGACCACGAGGGAAAGGTCAGAGAACAGCTATGGGTGCTAGCGGGGCGATTCGGGTTCCCCTACAAACTCTATTTACAGCAGTGCCCGGGTGCTCACGGACTTTCAGGTGAAGGTGAATGGCAAACAGGCTCCCTCTATTTAAGACTTTAACTGGGGGGGTTCTGTGCACCGCGCCTTGGGGGTGGTGGGGAGGTGGGCTGGATGCACGGCTGGGAGATAGGATGGAGTGGGGAGAAGAGAGCTGGTAGGATTTTGCTAGTGGGAGCGATTCTCGTGACAAACTGAAACTTTCCTTCTAGTTTTGCAGGCAGCGAGGAATGCATTTGGTCAGAAATTTCAGTGTGAAGTAGTGGGGATTGTTGGCCTCTTGTGGGTTGTTTTAGCAGATGGGTGTTTCTGGCATTGACCCCTATGCTCGTGTCCAACACACAGACACCCTTGTCCTTGCCCTAGAACCCCCTGTTCTGACACGGCAGTCACAGAAGGTGACTTGGGAATGACATTTAAGCCAGGACTGGAGTTCAAAAGGGATTTCTCCCTTCGATCAGCTCCAGAGCAGCAGCTTGTGTTGCTTACCAAGACCTCAGACTGGCACAAACAGGGCAATGGCGTGACTAGCAGAATGGCCAAGCCGGTGTGTTAGCACACTTTTAGGAATGTAGGCTCCATCACCCACATGCAGCAAAGCTGATCAATGCTGTATATGGATCTGAAAGGATGCTGAGCAATGCAAGAAGCAAAATTCGGCTTTGGTCCCGACAGGTACTTGCCCACATGGCTCAGGAGAAAGCAGCTTGGAGGTTCGTGATAAATGAGGCTGGGGCAAGGCAGGGGGGAGTTCCCCAGGAAAACGTTGTTTCTGCTGCAAAAACAACGTCAGATTATTTGGAAAGAACTGAAGAAACAGAAGTAAGAGAAATAGGGCACAGCAGAAGTGTCTGTAACAACTTGGCCCTAGAAGCACGTGCTGGAGCAGAACTCATCCGACCGTGCAGCCCCATTTTCATTCAGGTGGCCCTTTCCTTGCAGCAGAACCCCATTCTGCACACTGACCCTCTGAAACAATTTTGGCTCTTCCTTCTCTCCACTGTTTTTGCTCTCAATGGCCAACCTCTCTCCCACTGAAGGATGGAAAGGCCACAACAGTCCTTGCCCTCTTGACTGCAAGGGCGAAAGCTCCGCAATAGTCACCTGTATCTGATGCCCTGTATCTGGCCAGAGTTTGCTACCACATCTTCTGCCACTATCTGATGCCCGTGTCCTTTTGGTCCCTATGAGGAGACGTAAATGTTGCTCGTGCCTGTGCCCACAATCTCCAGTCCTCATGCAGCAATTCACATTTACACCTTCCGAAGGTCCTAGGCTGGACGGACATCCACCCTGCCCCTGCTTAGCAGCAATCTGGCCTGCTTTGGCCCTGCTTTGGGAAGCCATCGGTGAGAACAGAAGGGTAGAGTGGGGTGGGGACATTTGTTGTCTCTTTAATTTACGTTTGAGCTTTTTGTTTGTCTTTGAGTGTTTGTTCGTATTTCTTGTGTTCATGTTGCTGTTTTTTGTTGTTGTTGTTGTTTGTTTGTTTAAAATAAGTTCTTATATTTGGTCCATAGGTCTTCTGTGGTCCCAAATTACATCATCCTTAACAATCAGCTTGGTTATTCCTTCCTATACAACATTCACCAAATTTACACCAATGGAAAGAAAAGGAAACAAAAAGAAAAGATCAATTTGGCTTTGACTATGCCAACTACCTAGATCAATGGAAGGTCCTTAAGCATGGGCAAAACGCCATGGCCAGGTAGAGGGAGGGCATGAACTCGGGGTTAATAAATGTACCCAACCTATTGTCTCTGGCCACAGAATTCAGGTCAATGAGGCCAGGCTTGCCTCTGAGCACTCTGGGAAGAGCTGGATTCTTGGAGAGCCCTCCCCATCCTTCCCGTCTCCTTCTCAAGTTGATGCGAGGTGGAAGGGAGTTGGGAAGGAGTAGGGTCCGGGTACAGGCAGATCCCTGGAAGGCTGGTAGTGTTTCTCCAGTGGTACCGAGTTGCTGGAGTGGATTGTTGGCACAGTTGGACTCTTCAGTAAGCTTGGCCTGTCTCTACTGGTAGGAGCCCCAGAACGGCCGAATGTTCTCCCAGCTTCATCCTGCGCTGCGTGGACAGGCTCACGTTCTTGGCCAAATAATCAACAGCAGCTGAAGAGAGAGGTGATGGAGGAAAGGAGAGTGAGAAAACAGCACAATATGAGGTTTATTATTTAGTGGAAATGAGGTATTTGCCATCCAAGGATGTGTGTGATCAACAGACCGTGCAGACTGATTCTTAGAAATTGATGCTTGGATCAGGGGTTGTGCTCCTAGGAAAGGGTGCATCCTTCTAGATCAACCTGCCAGGGTTGTGGGTCCCTCACGTTGCCCCATGGACCTACTAAGGTTGAAGATCCTACTTCTGCCATAGAAAATGGTGTTTCCAGGGGAGCTGCCCAAAGATGAGCCTGAGGCAGCTCCAGCCTCACCAGCGATGCCACTGCAAATGAAATTTCAGCAGGACTTCACCAGCCTGGACAGGGCTTGGATGTGACTCAGCCACCACGTGCTGACTCATCCCTCTGTCCTAAGGGAAACGCTTTATCTCTGTCTTGGTGAGAAATGCATTCCAACTCGCCAGCCTGGCCCGCGGTCTGGGGGGGGACGAGGAGCAGGGCAGGATGGTGACATTGCTCATTAGCTCAGCTTCAGTCAAAGTCTCTCCCTTTCCCTAGCTTTAATGTCTCAAATTAGATTAATAAGGAGCTGGCAGGAGATGTACAATCGGTGCCAATGAGTAAACAAATTTCAGCCATCAACGGCTTGTCAGATGCCTGCCCCAGAGGAGGTCCCTTCCAGACACAAATTCTTATTAGACTTGTCATATCTATTAGAATTCCTTTCACGCTTCTGCGTTCCATCACCGGCATCATTAACACAGCTCCGGCCTTTGGGAACTGCAAGGACCACATTAATCTGGCATCGCTGCTCCTCACCGGCTGGGACAGCACTGGCTGGTGTGTGGGGAGCAGACAGGGTACAACTTCTACTGGTGGCACTTGGTTGGACACTTGGAGGTGGCACGGTTGGGCTGGTGCTCCTCCTGGACTGGGAGGAATCCCAGTAGGAGCAGCTCGTCTTGAGCTCTTCAAGGTGTGTGATGGTGCCTCCAACTTCATAGGGCTAGAGGCTGGGGAAGACTCTGCTCTATGGCTTGTGTCCAAACCTTATCAGTTTGTTCCCCTGATATTTCAGGTGATCACATTAAATAGCAGCTTCGTGAAGCTTTGTGTGTGTGTGTTTGGCGTCTGTGTTTGGGAGAAGGGACTCACAGAATCATTAAGGTTGGAAAAGATCACCAAGATCATTAAGATCTGCTAAATATAAAATGCGCCGAGAAAGGCAAGAAAAAAATGTTGTTATAGCAAGGTCATAACCATGCAAGACCTTGCTCAACAGTACTAATTACCAACAAAATGGTTTCTTCACATAGAGATGACTATAAATGGAGCTCATTATAAGAAAGGCTTGTAGAGGAGAAGATTTATGTATTGCCTCTATTTAGCTGGACGCACAAATATCCACACCTGTGTGTGCAGATGTGGAGAGTTTGCTGCTTGATGTGAATCTCACCTCACAATGGCCACAGCTGGATATACCTTGGGTAACTCTACCAACCATGCAAGACTTGCTGTTGGCAGCTTGAATGGGAAAACATTCCTGCTCCAGACTGAGCCCTGTGGCTCCTAAACCGAATGGACGTCCAACAGAAAAGAGGCAGAGAAATCAGGAAAGGCAATAAAACAGCGTAGATAGGGCTGGGTGGGCAGCTCTTCAAGGAGAGGCCCGAGTGAAAATTCCTGCAGCAAACCAAGACAAACCCTTCTTTCTCTTTCCCTCTCCTTTGCTGGTCACTCTCCTTTCACAATCGTAGCTCGTCCTCCTTATTTTATTTTTTACACACATGGGTGTGACTAACGTCTTGCCTAAGGGAATCTTTATTGGAAATACATGGTATTGGAATTTGTTTAAGATTTTTATCAATAGCACGTGTGTCCAGCCTCACATCCAGAAGCGAGGGGAAGGTCAAGGGGTCACAGATCAAACTCCCGAAAAACAAAAAAAGGAGGGGTGGGGGGAAGCTGCTATTGATCCCGTCTGCCGCCACAGCCGGTTCTCATTTAGCTGGAGAAGTTAAAGACATTAAAGGGCTGTGACGGAGAGGGGAATAAAAAGCCACAGCCAAATGGAAGGAAAGGTCATTGAGGACAAGCTATGGGCAAGCAGGAGCGCTCCCGGAGGAAGAGGATGCACCTTTAACCCTCTGCAGATCACCCTCTGACAACACCACACTCATTATTAGTTTAACACCAGCAGGTGAGCCCTTTGGCAGGGTTTCTGGAGGAGAAACAGACCTTCCCTGGGTCTCAGTGCCTTCCAGGTCTGAGCTGTGGGTTGAGGATTGCAATTCCAGCCTCACTTTGGCTATAGCAGGATCGCAGCCTGGTTGGTTGGCAGACATTGGTTTTATGGCTTTTGTAGGGAAAGCTGAGCATGGAACCATCCCTTACCTTACACAGGGCAGGGGAAGAACAAACATACGTAGTTCTGCATCCCTAAGGGATGGTATTAAAATCCCCTTGGCTGAGCAGGGTGAACGTGCTGTTGGGCTTTTGGAGAAGTAAAAACTGGAGAGGAAGAAGGAAAGGGTTGGAACTGGATGATCTTCTAGGTCCCCGCCAATCCAAGCCATCCTATGACTCTAAGTTCTTGTTCTTTTTACTTTCTAGCAGAAATGTTTTACCTACAATACATTATTTGGGACTTTGGGACTGCAAGGATGATGGGAGCAATCTCTATATGGAGCAATCTCCATCTAGCAGGTTCCATTCTTCTCTCTTAGTGGACAGACTTCTTTGCAACACACATTCTTAGATCCCTCCCTCTCCTCTCCTGCTCCCAGTGCAGGGGCCACCCAGCACTTACTTTGTCCATACTGCCCATACTGGTATCCAGCCACTGGGTCCACGCTGTAACTGGTGGTGCTGTAGGTGGGAGGACAGTAGGACTGCGAGGTCGGGAGGCTGTCCACGGATTTGATGGAGTCACTCCGCTGGCTGCAGCTGGCAGAGATGGAGTTGGTGGTGTCCAGGCCACCGTGAAGGGGAGAGATGGAGAAGTCAGCCTGGGGCTGCGGAGGAACCCCGCTGGGGTTGCTCAGGATGCTCATCACCTGGGGAAACACAGGAAGCAATGTGTCATCAGGGGTAGGAGAGAGACAGTCTACCAGGATGGAGAATGAAGGCTGCTTCCACCTGGTAAAAACAGACCTCACTTTTGGTTCCCCTTTGCCTAAGGCTTTCTTTGGTAGAATTGTTGAATCATCAAGGTTGGAAAAGACAGCAAAGATCTCCATGTCCAACCAATCATCCCATCACCCATGCCCACTAAACCATGTCCTTCATACACATCCAACCTACTAGTTTCATGTTTTTGTTGCCCTCTTTTTTAATGTTTTAATAAAATATATATATATAAAAAGAGGTCTTGTTACTGACATGCCTTAACTATATTAGATATTTTATATGCTGCCCAAACCCACTCTTCTTCACCCATTGCAGCCCAGGCAAATGTTGGATGCCCATAATGTCTATTTGAAAGACTTTCCTAGGGGACAATGGAGAGGTTCCTTCCTGGCACACTCAGTCTTCGGTTGCTCTTTGCTGCCCTGCAAACAATGTCATTGAACACCAGAGAAAGGAATAAACCAAGGAAAGCACAAGGGATGCACAAGTCAAGACCCACAGTTTCCTAAAGGGACAGCAGCTACTGCCATTGGAAGTCTGCATGGGGGTTGTTAATGGAGGTTCTGGTTTTGATACATTCTGCGTTAGGACAGAAATGTCAAAGTTCTCTTCACCCTGAAATGTCCATGAGTTCAGAGATGACAGGTCATTGCAGCACGGCACTTGGTTTTAGAACGTAATTCAATTTGCACACAAGCTATCTTCCTGCTCTGAGACATGAAACAGATGCATTTACGCTGTTTTTGTTGTGTTTTGTTTCTTTTTTTTTTCCCCACCCAAATGCCAGATTTGTTCCTGTGGGTGAACGTGGGGCGAGCCACTGCCTACAGGCCTCCATCCTGATATACTGCCTTAATGCAATTGCCTCCTGCAATCAGCAAAGTGACCCCTGGGTGCCTGGTTCAGGGTGTGAGGAGTTTGTGGGACCGGCGGTGCTGGATTTGTGCTGGCAGAGGTGAGGGGACAACCCGTCACCTCGGGGGGCCGCGGCGGCGCTGGGACGGCTGAAAATCTCCGACTTTAGCATAACCTTATTGACATCAATTAAAGTGGCAAATTGGAAATATTTGGAGCCTGGCAAGTGGTAAAATGAGCCCTTTATCCCCCGCCAGCGGCCTGGTGAGCTATTGTGCAGAGCATCCATTCTCTGGAAGGACACAAGAGTTGTTGTATAGAGCGCCGGGTCCCCTTCCTCTTCGTCTCTGTCCCCTCCTCCCTCACCTTCCTGCTGGACTGGGGCTTAGGGGATGCACGGCCCTTTGCTTTCTAAAGCTTCTCCTCCCCCCGGAAGGGCCCCGGAGCCCTGCAAAGCCGCTTTGCCTTGATGGGATCCCACCTCCCGACTCTGCCGGCATGAGATCCTTCCCAGATTTGTCTGGGGGGGAATTTTGGAGCAGGGCTGGCTGGGCCCCTGCGGAGGGGGAGTTAAAAAGCCTGGAAAATCAGTCTAACCCTGAGCACTGGGACAGGGATGGAGGAGCAAGCTTCGGACGAGCAGCACTGAGCTCACTTACCCTGCCCTCCTTTGAGTTTTCCAGCCTGCACCGAGGTTAGGTTTGCTGCTGGTCCACACAAGATAAAAAGCAATGGAGCTGTTTCATCCACTGGAGCCTAAATCCCCTCCAGCCCTCCAGGCACATCACCTCAATGTAGCCATGAGATGAAGTTTTTTAGCCGCAACCACTTGGAACCCCTTGCCCCATGACAGCAGGGGGACGAAGAGAGGAAATTGCATTTAAATATGCAAGACAGAATGGATTAATACGAGAGCAGAGCTGTGAGGGTGGATGTAACGCAAACATCTCTGCCTCGAGGCTTATGCAACAGTGAAATCATGTGAGTGCTGCCCCAACGTTGATTTTCCAGCTGCAAAGTTGTTTGTAACCTTCCACTAAAGCTGGGTCACGAACTTTGATCTGGCTCAGCCACGAATCCTCCTCCTCTGCCCCTTGGTCCCTGCAGATATCCCTCCTAGCACCAGGGCTGGAGGTGTCACAGCCTGCCCCAATGGGTATCCGGGATGCTCACATCTACAGCAGCCACAAAACGCTACTGCCTTTCACCTGAGAACTGAATCAGATGTTTAAAACAATAAACATCCTCCCTGCACACAGATATGTGAATTCTGTGTTATTTTTGGCAAGCTGCAGCTCAGGCAGCACCAAGCAGGGCTGTTTTGCTGCTCCCCTTCCGAGGTGTAGAGCTACAGATTGGCTGCATGCACTGCAAACCTCTGCAGGTGCAGAGAGAAATCATGTGCTAGAAAACAATGTGCAACTGGAACTACTCAGAGATCGGAGGGTTTGCTGGTGCTCTCCCTCCTGGCCATCTCCCTCATAAGAGTCAGCTGCTTTATATTACTCAGGAAAAATAAAAGGGTCTTAAAGCAAGTAGAAGTCATATTAACACTTCCGCTAAGGCCCTTTTAAAAAGAAAGGTGGATGTAAAGCTGTGTTGGTAAATGAAACCCAGATTCACACTCTCACACTTGCAGGAGCTGAGACGGGAGAAGACACTTGCAGAAATCCTGCTAAAGACAGTAATTGTCTTTAATCGGTCAGAATCAGGGCTGGTTTCTAATCCTGGCTCTGTTACTGACTCTGAAGGGTTCGTGCGAGTCACTTAAGCAGGGACTCAGCTAACCTGAGCCATGCGATGCTGATTCTGGTCTATGCTAATCCTCCAGAATCCACCTACAGAGAGAGTGATACCTCTGAAAGATCATCCTCCCGTCCTCAGACCCTTTCCTGAAAAAAATGATGGTCAGAATTTCCCTCTGGAAATGCATAGCGAGACATGAGGATGCCAATATTACACCAGGATGGTGAACAGCCCCCAAAGCACTGCCGACCATGGGAACATCTGTCTTTTTGCCTTTTCCAGGCAAACTGCTGTGAGCAGTTTGGGACTGGGCCCCACCAAGACCCTGTTTGCATCCAATCCACCCCAAGACATGAAAGTGTTGGGAATAGCAAGAGCAACATGGAGATTTCTGCTCCATCTCTGCTCTGCACGGATAACCCTCGGCCAGCACTATCTGACTTCTTGATTCAGCTGGATAAACTCATTTTCCAGGCAACTTTTGAACTTAGGAAGGTGCGGGGGCATCTGGAGAAATCCCCTCCTCAAGAATGCCACGTCCTTCTCCCCTCTTCTTTCTGACCTTGCTTTCTTATAATTTATTACTTCTTGGTGCATTATCATCACTAACTAAAAATCAATACCCACTTCACATCTGTAAGGTTTTATCTGGAGGGAAATCTGCTCCCTGTCCATCACGGTGACTGACAGCCTTCTCTTTCCCCTCCCTCTCGTCGGCTGCCTCTCTCCCCTTCCCCATCTCCTTTACCTCTGCTGCTGTCCCAAATCAGTCACAGGCATTGCGTGGGCTTGCACTTTAGGCTAAGTCAATAACGGCCCCGGTGCTAGGAGCCTTCAGCCTCTCTCCTACCCTTTCCAGAGGTCATTTGTCATAGGGGAAAAGTGGTAGGGGGTCTCGGTGTGTTGGGGAGCCCAAGGTTACCGCACAAAGACCCTCCTGGATGAAAGAGCCAGCCTCCTGCTGCTGCTGCCCTCCCCACCCTCATCTCCCCCTGTTCCCCAACCCACCCACCCACCCCCCCCCGGGACGTTTCATCACTCTCTCCCATACTTTAAAAGAAGGGGAGTTAAAAAAATGTAATTAATTCCCTCCATTTCTGAGCTGGCCCTCAGGGCCTCTGGCCGTGGAAACTGTAGCAGGGGAAATGTGCACCCTTTATGATAAACGGATGCGGCTTTGGGAAGGGAAGAGCAATTAGGGCCTTCAATCTGTGCAATCAGGCCTTCAGATTTTAGGGTTAGAGGTTGGGGGGTGGTTGTGTGTGCCGGGGGGGCAGGAGGGGCTCAAGGGGCAGACAACGATAGGGAGAGCTGCTGTTCTGATGGAGAAGGGCACACACACGTCAGGGAAGGGACAGTGGGGAAGTTTGATGACAAACCCTTGCCCTGTAGATGTGGCTGGGACATGGGACAAAGCAAGGCAGCCCAATGGTGACATCAGACCCTGAAACATCAAGGAGTGGATGCCCACCATATGCAGGGTGTAAATAGCCCAAGACAACAGGGAGGACGCAGAGATGCTTTGAGGAGATGGCATCCCAAAATTCCAAAAGGATGGGAAGGTGAGAGCCTGCAAACACCGTTTTCCAGAGTGGCTCCCAGTGCTGCTCGTCTCTGTTTTTGGGCATCTGATCTGACAAAGCGTAGAGCGTCCAAAATCAGAGGCTGCCTTAGAAAAATGCTGCATTTAGAAACTGCTGAGTCTGGCTAAGTTGTGAATAAAGGGAAGACGTAATCATCTGCAACTAGCTGAAGGGTGTTAACTCCAAAGGAGCTGCCAGATGGTCCCAAAGGAGTGCAGACTGAAGAGGGAGAAAAGCTCATGGCAGTAAGCAGTATTTCTGAAGCTGCGGTGTTGTTTTCCTAAGAATGGGTAGAAAACCTCAGTTTTGGGAAAGGCTGGAAGCACGATTGGTTTGAATATTTAATACTAACCAGACAAAAGCCCTACGGACTTCTGCTGAGAAGAATGCGTTTGTAGGTTCTATGGTGTCAACATTCACACCATTTCTGAATTTCTGAATATCTGATAGCCATGCTGGGCAAGGCTATGGGTCTCTTGGCCTTCCTGCCTACACGGAGCAGACAACTGGTGTGCTGTGAGTTCCCCTATGAAGTTTTCACCCCTGGGTTGGTCTCCACTATTTGCAGTTGATTCACCTTCTGCTTTGGGCAGGTGATGCTCTGTCCTCTAAGCTACTTGGTGGGGACCCAGCTTTAACTTTTCCACCTCTCCCTGGCAGCCTTTTCAGCTAATCTTTTCCTTCCCTCTTGCAGAAGGCAACCTTTCCTCACACTGGTGCTTTCTGATCTCTGTGCATTCATT